ATTTTTTTTTGTTGTTGTTCATTTGTTTTTAGTCTCAATTTCATTTATTTTCATTCTCATCTTTATAATTTCTCTTCTTTATTTTAGGTTTGGGGCTGATTTATTGTTGTTTCTCAAGTATTTTAAGATATCTCATAAGGCTGAATATTTGAACTTGCTGTTTTCATAATTTGCGCACTGATTATGAATTTTCCTCTTAGAATGCTTTCATGGTGTCTTGGAAGATTTGTACTGTAATTGTGATTTACTTTCAGAAATTTTTAATTTTCTTCTTTGATTTCTGTGACTCACTGATTGTTTAACAATGTATTGTCAGTTTAACAGGGCTTTTACCTTTCCCAAAATTTCTTCTGCCAATGATTTCTATTTTTTTTTTTGTACAGTGTTCTGATGTATGTATAGGTAATTGCTACTGTTTTATATTTACTTAACCAGGCTGTATCTTATGAATAAAGACAAAGTTAAGATAACATACACTACACACAGAATAAAAACAAACATTATGCTATTAATACTACTAATAATATTAAGTATTTTTGTTTATAATATACTCTAGTAAGTTTTATATACTGTGTCTTTGATTATTATACTGCTCAATATAGTAACTATGTACAATCCCCTAAATATGTTCATTAAAGAATGGGCATCTTTCTTGCTTTAAAAGTGTTTCCAGTACAAGCAGTGACTACACATACAGTACAATTCTTAAAGAAGGCTGATATAAGATCAATTCCTCAAGAATTTAATGAACCCATCAGGAACAAGTACTATGAGGAAAATAAAATATTCTTGCCATCAAATTAGCTATAATCTACTTGAAACAAAATGTAAAATGTTATAGTTATGTATTAATTTATTAGTTATATAAATGTTCAGGAGACAGCTATGAAACACTGTTCTATCACAGCTACTATTATTCTCAATAGTAGTAATAGTTGAGACTTAGAATTTCTATTATATCATGTACTGTTCTGAGCTTTAGTGTAAATGACTTTTTGAAATCCTAATCTTAGGTATATTCTACTATTATGATCATTTATTCAGGTAAGTCACTAGTCTGTGATCACACATCTAGTACGTGGCAAAGTTTAGCTCTATCCTCTTAACACTAGGGATAAAGTGTTCATATAAGAAGGCACTGAGCCAAGTTTAAAGAAAACAGCAAATAGGGAAGGGCCTTTAGGTGAGAAGTAGAACTTGAGCAAAGGCAGAAATAAGTCCAAAAGGGTGAAATTGGAGAGTTACGAGAAGAATAGATTCCAGGTGCAATTGTATTCAAATATGGAAGGTCTTAAGTCTCAATAAGGTAGAAGCTTAGATCTAATCCAGTTCATGCAGTAAGATTTAGAATGGTATTCTGAATCAGATGGTGTCTCTCAAGCATTCTTTCCCAGGCTAAGGGTTACTGTTACGTAGAAGAAAAGATACTGATTAGCCCTTTCCTAAGACTCAACTTTCCAACATTTGCCAATATTTCCTGGTTTGACATAATTTAGTGATGGCCCTTGATAGAAAGAAAGATTAAACAGCAGAAGTGGTGCCAATTATCAATAACACTTTGGCCCTACTACACAGTTAAGAAAAATAAATGTTCAATTACCACTAGAAGTCATGAGTTTTAAAGGGTGCAATTAAATGCCAAGTTGATATATATTTTATCAGATTCATTTTAAAAAGAAATTAAGGTAGTGCTTCTAAATCTGTTTATATCAAATAATCACACATTTTACTTGCAAAATAGCCATTACTAGGTTTCTCGTGGATTGTTAACTGGTGGTCAAGTTAAACACCAGAGTAAGTATGGAGCTGAGCATGGATGGCCAACCTGGGACTGCTGCCAGCATACAAAGGATACCTGGTGAGGAAGAGGAGTGTTGTGGGTTCTCCTGAGTGTTGTTATTCAGAGCTGTTAGTTCTTGTTGAGCTGTTCAATCTCCAGGAAAAGCTTTTCATGCTGGCTTCCTAAAATGGATGGCTGCTCTCATTGTGAAAGGAGCTCGGGACCTTGTTGTCCCTGAGGATCGCTGTGGTACTTTTCAGGGGAACCTTGGTCCTTATTTTGTGTGTCGCTCTTTGGCTCCAGTGCAGAAATCTTAATCTACTAGCACAGATGCTTCAGCTTGCTGGCATAGACGTTCTAGCTTTCACCGCTGACCTCTGGGCCTTCCCAGTGCAATCCATGAAGCAGACTTACATGAGTCATTGTGGTAGGCTCTGGATCTCCAGTTGGACTCACGGGAGGCATTTTTATGGGCTCTTGGTTTTCAGCTGAACTCGTGCAGGACACTGCCATGGGATCTAGGCCCTCGGCTGGATTCCCTAGGTCTTGTATTTGACTTTGAGTGACTACTATAAAATACTACATAAAATAAATCAGGTGTCCTGTATTGTCTTGTTCTTGCAACCCCTTGCCTTCAACAGGGCTCTACTCTACCCATTTTTTGATTCAATAGATTTGGGGCTTAGTATTATACGTTTTACTTAAATACAATAAAATCTGATGATTCTGATGCTGGTAATCGAAATACCAAATTAAAATAAAGTATATAAAATTCCTAAAAAAGTTCTAAACATGGTTTATCCATATTTGTTATCTTTCTCTATTATATATTTTTAAAATGTTATTCCAAATAAAAACCATAAAATCAGAGCAACCCTGAACTCATGATTAAAATATCTACACTCTATACCATTCTTGGTAAACAAAATGGAGTACCATTATGTCATCCATTTAGAGTTTGTATATTCACTTCATTGTTAAATATCATTATTGGATGTAAAAGCTTTAGTTTCTTAAATGATGATTTTTGCTAACCTACTTTGAGTGGATAATTATACCATAACTGAAGGTCTTGAAACTTCATCAAATGTATAATAATCATATTTAGCTATGAAAGTTGTTTATTATTAAAACTTCTGGTTTTTCAATTATCCTCTTTCAAAATGCCACAGTCTTAAACTATTTCAGAAAAAACTAATATTTTCAATAAACCTTATCAATATATTTCATATTTTAAATTATGGCTAAAAATGCAACTAAGGTATTCTGAATATAAAACAGAAAAACAAAAGTTTGTGAAAATATAAAAAAAAGTTTCCTCTTAACAAGTAAATTAGTGCCAATATTAAAAAAAATGTTCAGCATAAGTTAAATAGTAAGACTATTCAATAAGCATTTCAGTGGAAATGATACTTTATATCAGGAAAAGATAAATTATATGTACTAAATTAATGCCTTGCAATCAGTTGAGTCTCCAAAGGCAAGCATTATTGGCATCACTTCACACCAATTGGAACCTTCATTAAAACAGATAAGAAGTAAAATGTTTTATTTTATTCGTTTTGCTGATATTTTAAAGTGAGAAAACTCCCAAGATACTTATGCTTTCCAAAGAAATAAATTAAGCAATTTCCTTGGGGTCCTGTTAACAGTGGCATACAATGTTGTAGCTCCTATTTTTAGGAGAATAAACAACATGTCATTATAGAAAAAAGTCAGTTTTTGCCAACTTGTATCAAATACATAAGCACGGAAACACTATTACTAATAAATAATATCAATACCTAAGGAAATTTCAAAGTCTTCTACTATATGTTGAGCAGTATTCATTCTCTACTCCGTAGTTAAAAGTTGCCCAACTATGGACTCTAAAGAAAGACATTGAAAGGAAAACGGCTTTGAGACCATTAGCATATAAAAAGATGTAAAATAATATACCTTTAATTGAATTTATATTGTTTAAGAAAGTCTAAATGAAAGGTTAGATGATAATGGGGATATTTGGGAAAGAAGACAGCAAGTACTGATGTAATGTTACTCTGTAGAACATTTAAAATTTCATTTTATAAAGATTCTATAAATTGAAATATTTTAGATACATAAATATATGTTTACTAGTAAGGCAAGACTTTTGCTATCCTAAAGGAAAGAACAGGACAAGCTCAGTTTAACTAAAGGTTTTTTAAAAAGATACAGTGATTTGAGAAAAAGAGAAAGAAAGGATTTAATTTCCCACTGGCATATTGTTTTAGTTCTTATTTTTAACTACCATTATGAAAACTTTAATTTGATTAGTTAATGATCATTACTGTGTGCCTTTTTTTTTTTTGCAATGCATTATGGTATATGCTTCTTCTATTATGAAACTCATGGTCTGCCTAATAGCAATACATTTCCTTACTAACTATAACACAAAAAATAAATGACCCCAAACAGATTTGTAAACAATTCAGAATTAGATTCCAAGGGCTAAAAAAATTCTAAATCCCAGAGTTTGTGATACCTCTCAATCTAGAACCTCTTCTGAGTTTCTCCAGAGAGCTCCCACAGTACAGTATTTACTGTACTGCTGATTGCATGGGACCAAAGGTCTAAAAGTTTCATAATACAACTTCCAAATAACCTACCTGTTTTAACCCATCATCTACCAATTCTCCATCATTTGCAGTTTTGGTGGTTCCCTATACAACCATTAGCGCTGCTTTTCTGAAGTTTTCCATTTGTTAAGGTTAAATTCTAGATGTTTCAACCTCTGTCATCACTTTTCTCCATGTCTTAGGTTGTCTTCCCTTTGTTCTCCAAGTCATTTGCCATTCCTATATCCCTTCCATGTCTTGATAGTTTGTGTACTGAACTTTAGATGGCTATTAGCTTCACTAAACATGGAGTAAGTTTCTATTGTTCTTGCTTGGGTGATTTTCAAAATGAGGACAGGTTAGAGTGGAAATTACTTCTTTCATCTCGAACCTATTTTGGATACTCAATTACAAGAATTTCATTACTAAGTTATCATTAAGAAATATTAACAAACAGTAGAAAAATTTAAAATTCATCTATAAAAATAAACGTTATTGAAAATATCTGAACACTCTGACATGTGAGATAAAGAAAAAGCTTATAAGATAGGAAAAGCAGAGAGAAGCATAAACAACTCATCTGAAGTAGACCATCACCTACTCTGAAATGAAGTTTAAATTAGTAAACTACAAATAATTCAAACCTTCACAAACAGAGTGAACTCTTCCACTTTCTCATTGGATATTAGCAGTTTCTTCTGGGCACCTTCTAGAACTTGCTCACTTTGCAGTGCTAACCCTTGAAGCTGCTTAGATGCTGCTGTTTCAATTTCGGCGATTACAGATTCACTCTCATTTACTTTTGATGCTAGGAGAGTAAGCTTGAAATCCTTCAGGAGATAAAAGAATCACATAAAATGATTTGGAACAGCTAGTTATACCTATCAGATAAGGAGACGATCGCATTATACTTCATATTTACTTATTTTTATTGGGCAAAATTAATGATTGCTTTTAGTTTCAGTAATACAGAGCTATCTTTAATGTTAAACAAATTCTTATTACTTGTAGAGATACAATGTATTTGCAGTTACATGAAGTTTCCAAGTCATTAATATTTTGTAGAAAAAAAAGTGACATTAAAATGAACAAGACACCATATTCTACTTCTAGATTAAAAAGGGATAAATACATGCCTTTTTCTCTAACTCCTCCTTAGTTTTCTGACACATCTGTTCATAGCGTGACTTCTCTTTTACAGCAACATTAAGTCTTTGCCTTAGCGAATCAATTAATACTTTCTTATTAGAACATTCTTCAGTTAATGTCTTTACCTACAGTGAAAGCATAAAGGTAATTTTTATTGGCAAAGGCATTCTACTGTTTTTTCAGAAAGTAAATGAGTAAGTCTAATTCCATTTATTGCTTGTAAATTGTATCAAATTAAATTATTATATTTGCAGAATGAAACTAATAGCCCTTAAATCAATAACAAAACCCAAAATTACACAAAAGTGTATGAATACATGTAAAAAGCAATAAATAATATATTCATTACATATTTCAGAGAACAGAAGAAATTTTTTTTCAGTTTAATGACACCAAATCCATGATTACTTATACAAAGATTCTAAAACTATATTTGAAATGATTATTCAAGTTGAAAAAGTTAGCAAAACTTAAAAGATAAAGATAAATTGAAAAGCCCACAGAAAATAATTATTATCTATATACTTATATGGAAGAGAAACTAAAAATCCAAGTTCATGTATCATGTACATACTAAATTTTTTCTTTAAATCCATTTGATCTACAGATACTGACATTTTCAGCTTAACAATGAAAGTGAAGAAGATCTCTGGAGTAGATAACATTTAATGGATGCCTAGGCACAAGCCACTTTATGCATTACACAAATAGTACTTTTTTGTTTTTGTAAGCAAAGACTTTGTAGTTTGGTGAAATACATTTGTATTTGGTGAAATACATTCTACAACTAAAAACTAAAACTCTTTTCCCATGTACTAAGAATTAAGTGTATAAGAAAAGTATAATTTTTAAAGAACTTGTGATTAGTTATCACTTCTTCATTCTGAAATAGAGATTTGAGTATATTCTTAGCAATTATACTTTTAAAATTATGAATAAAATTAACCATGTATCCAAGAAATAGGAAAAAATTTTAAACTTAAACTTATCTTAAAAATAGTAACATACAGAAACTGAATGTATGAGATTTTGGAGTTTTGAATTTTAAAATCAAAAGTATACACAGAGCAAACAACACAATTTTGTAATCATGAATACATATCCACTGAGTATTTTCTGTAAGATTATTCATAACTGAATATGTGAGATAAGTAAATACAATGGGAAATGATATTTTTAGTTGAGATAAAAATTGTTACCTTTTTTTCAAGACTTTCTAACATCTGACTAAAATTCTCATTACTTTCTGAATTTATTTTCTGACGAAATTTGAAGTCCTCTATCAAATGTCTTTTCATAGTTATATCCCTCTCCATTCGAGAAATCCTTAAAAGGTACAAAAGATATTTTATTAAGATAATAGAAAATATTTTTAACAGTGGCTATGTCTTACATATTATTCAATATTATAACCTATCGTTAGGTTTAAAATGCTATGTGACATTAATAAAACTGTACATTAGTAAAAAATGGCATTAATTAAATTACCATTCTATGATCATTTAAATAAAATTTATAATCAGGTTGTGATTTAGTTATTACAATATCACATATATGCCTAAAAATGAAGATTGAGAAAGAGTAGATCTAAGAAAACTTTAAATTCTTATATTTAAATTACCTTTCTGTATTACTTAAAAAATTGAAATAATATTTAGAGACAAAAGTTTAAAAATGTTAAACGATTTTATACTTTTGTAAACAAATATAAAACCTTGTAATATGCAAAGAAACTAGGGATCTGTCTTCTAATTTACTATCCTTTGAAACTGACTTCATCTATCAGTTTAGCAGAAGTGGGTAAATATTAAGAATAAAATAAATAGTCAGTAGGTGACAACTATTATTACTGTTGCTTCTACCACTGCTATCACTATTATTACTTTAACAGAGTGGTGTATGCCAGTTAGTATTACAAATTTACTTTGTATTAATTCATTTATTCCTCCTAAAGCCTTATAAATTAATACTAGTAAATAGAATCATAGAGCTAGTAGACAGAGGAGACAGGATTCAGTGTTCTCTATACTCCTCACTATTAAACAATGAGTAAGACATGTTCTTTACTTCAAGATATTCCCAATTAAAAAAATTAACCAGTCTTGTCTAATAATTTTACCTACTAATATCAATTTTACATGATGTTTACTTATAATGTGGTATATAGGTGTATGTATAAGAAATGTATCTTAAATTTAGCAGTGATGACTGGAATTCTATCAAACAAGTTAATCTGTATAATATTTATAAAGTGTACAAAAAATCATTTTGGTTTCAAGGAACACAGTATTTAAAATCCCTTTTTAATAGTTATGACCAAAGTACATCCAAGTTATTTTACACAGAACAAAATTTTCCTTTTTCCATTTTAGCTTTATAAGCTTAGGTGTTAAATCCAATGCAAGTATTAATCTCTATATATTTTTGTCAAATAATTGTCAAAACTTAAAGATTTTTGTGCAGACTTGTCATTAATTTATATTTATTTGAAATGTATAATGAGTTCTGACTTTATTACCTTAATAAAAATAGTAAGCAGCTTGCAATAAATCACTCTATATAGTTAGCATTCCTTAAACGTCCATCTTAGGTAGCTTTAGGCATTAACTCAGAAAGTAGAATTATGTTGGTGTTACAAGATAGTTTCTTGAGTGCAACACTTAATAGAGCTGATCACCGCTAGGTGGCACCAAATACAATAGATAGAAATATAAAAAAAACATACTTTTCATGCATTTCCTTTATGTGTTCTTCTTTTGAGAGGAGTTCAAGTTTCAGAGACTTCACATTTGACGTCTGTTTAGTGAGTTCATTAGTTGCATTCTAGATCAAAAACAGGTATAAATTTCAACATACCTTTTAATCTTGAACAAAATCACAGTAGATGTCACTCTCAAGAAGAGCAATATATTTCTATGTTGAACAATAATTAAACGTTTTATATTTTTAATGCTTTATATTTTTCCACTAGAAATAATACAGTAATACTAAAATTTTTATGCATCATAACAGGCCATAGAGAAACATAATCATATAAGAATTGCAGAGTGTATTTATGGGAAGTATGAATTATCCTAGTAAAATGTAAATGTTTTGGAGTAATTAATACTTTCGCAACTCTCTGAATCTAGTTTTGTCAGTGATTTTTTTTGACCACAATAATGTGGCCAAAATGAGTTTGAAACTTTCCTATCCTGTGGCTGGAAGCAATGCAGGTTTAACTTTGACCCTCCTGGAACACTTCCACGGGATCACCTTGCAAAGGAGACAGTTGAAAGACCACATGAAGTAAAACCAAGATAGCCAGTTGACAGCAGACCACTGCCAGACCTGTGAGTGGGGATATCTTGGACATCCAGGCAAGGTGAGTAAATATTAGGTTTAGAAAAGGCCCAGACATTCAGGAAATCCAGAAGAGATCAGCAAAAGAACTGTCCAGCCAACCAAATTGGAAGGAAAAATAATTTGCAGTAGTTTTAAACCACAATGTTTTAGGATACTTTACCAGAGACTCATAGATAACTCACAGAGAATCTTATGAATATTAAATACTTCTTCACCTGGAATATCACTTCTTATTCAAGTGTTTACACATAATTTCTAGATTTTTCAAAGCACAATAGTTTGTGACATTTCGCATCTATACCACCTAGAAGCAAGGGGTAACTGTCGTGTTAAAACATCTAACTTTTAAATTTGATTCAGGTTCCAGATAAACAAGTAATCTAGATATCACTTAATCTTTTTAGCATTTTAGCTTTTAGTGTACTGTTTAAATATTCATGTGAATACACTTGTTATATTTTAAAACTATTAAATTAATATAAATAGAATAAAACATAATAGTTCTAAAATATTTGTAGTATCACTAATCTTTCTAAAATATAATTGTTTCCATTAGAATTATTCTTAGATTTGAATTCATGTTAATTCAGTTAAAATGCAAATATTCACAATTATGCTGTGATATAGTAACATTATATTACAATATAAATACCACTATTAATCAACTACATTATTATATATTATCACTATATTCTTATAGTGATAGCTTTAGGGATTACTGTGCCATAAATTATCTACTTATTCCTACTATAAATGAACTCAGACTACTAAGGTTTTCTAATTTTGATTTCTTTAACATTCTCATACTTTCTTTTCTTCTCTATTAATCTGTTGGTGGTAATTTTTGCTTCAGTAAATATTCCTACCTAAAAGCAATCATCCTACCATTTACACAGTAAAACTTGCTGACTTAAGATGTTTTCTGCTGAGAAAATAAACTTTGAACTTTATTTGAAATAAAACAGACAGTAAAAAAAATCTTAAAATATCTTCAGTGGAATTTATTTTAAAGTATCTGTTTAAGTCTTTTTTTTAGATTTAAGATTGTATTCTATGAAGCTGAAAACGCTTTACATGTGACTGCTGAAAAACTGAAGGATTATTCAATTACAATTAGTAAAACAATGCCAGCTCTATTGTATTTGCCATAATCTTTAAATCTGAGTTGTTTTATTTGATACTCAAAAGTTCTTCTTGAAATAGTTACAAATATATAGCCATGTTTATAGCAGCATAATTCATAGTAACTAAATCTTGGAAGTGGCCTATATTGTCCATCAGCAGATGAATGAATTAAAAAATGTGGCATTTATACATGATGGAGTACTACTCTGCCATAAAAAAGAATAAACCTGAGTCATTTGTAGGAAAATAGATGTATTGTGAGAGCACACTGTTAAGTGAAATAAATTAGACACACAAGCTTTCTCTTATAAGAGTCTTCAAAGATACAAATAAAGAGCAAAATAAAAGATTAATAGGAAACAGAGCTTAATTTACAAAAGTGAAGGGGACCAAGAGATGAAAGGAAGGGGGAAAAGGGGAAAAGGAAAGAGAATGAAAAGAAGAAATATGATGTGACGTCATGTACCAACTCCCCAGGAAGAATGGAATCGTTATGCACTGCAAACATGCATTAATAAAAATACAAAAACTAAAAATAAAGTTGTGAGGTGGATAGAAAGGCTCCCCTGCTTTACACCTTTAGAGTAGTTATTTCCTTAACTTAGTCCCCACAAGAAGTTAGTGGCTAGAAAAATGATCAAACCCATGATGTTATCACTGTTCCATTCCATACTAGCATGACTTAAAATCTGGTGTAAAATAAATATATCCAAAATATCACAGTGCTAACTATCCACCCATGTCAGAGCTTTCTCCTACTAATTTTACTGAATGTTTTTAAAAGTTTGCATAATGTGATGATTAAAACATACACTCTTGAGCCAGACTGGTTTAAATTCTATTCTCAGCTCTAGTAGCTGTGTGACTACTAGCTAATTGGACAATTAATTTTTTTCCTATCTCTCAACTGTAAAACAGAGACAATAAAAGAACCTGTCTTACAGGGATGAGATGAATATTAATATTTGTAATCAGCCTAAAAATAGATTGTTGTATTGTATTCATTTGCTAAGTGTCTTATAACAGGATGCCAGAAAGATGGTTTAGAAACAGAACTATTTTTCATTATTAGTAATTTACTGGAAAAATAGAACAGAACGTAATATGCACATATCTTCAAGAGTTAGGAAGTTTTAAAAAAAAAAGTATTATTTAACCTAGGTTGTGTAAAACCTAAAAAGTGATGTGAATATAATTCAATGGAAGGAATTATAGCATTTTTTATCTCTATAAATGTAGACACCTTGAGGAAACATTTAATTTACATAAACATGAAGTAGAAAAAATGTACACAAGCACTTTAATGTTACTTAATGAACTTGGGGTGTTTGTAAAGTACATACAAGAAATTACATAGAAGAGATATACTAATTTTATAAAATGAAAAAGATGTGTGTAGATCTTTAAAAGACTTAAATCTTACCAACTTTCTCACTGAAGCATTAAATCAGTTAAAAAATAAGGTTAATTCTTAGATAATCACTGCCAATAGTTTGGTAACTCTTACAGGCTAAATTATGTTGCCCTAAAATATGCATATGCTAAGGCCCTCACCTAATCCCCAGTACTTCAGAATGTAACGACATTTGGAAATAGGGCCTTTAAATAATAATTAAGGTAAACTGAAGATTTAGGGTGGACTCTTAACACTATAACTGGTGACTTTTTAAAAGGAAAAAATTTGGACATGAAATACGCAGAGAAAAGACTATGAATATGCAGTGAGAAGACATCCAACTACCAATCAAGAGGTCTTGGGGAAAACAAAAAACCGAACTGTGGACACTTTGAACTAGACTTCCAGCATCTAGAATTATTAGAAAATAAATGGGTTTTGTTTCTAAAACATCCTGTCTGGTACCTTATGACAGACTTAGCAAACTAATACAATAGTGAAACACATTTTAATAGCAGAATATTATGTATTTAAATTTCTTTTAGGAAATTTCTATATTAAAACATGAAACAAGATAAAAGTAAATATTTATCCTTTTATTCTCTGCATAGTCTGGTCAGTGTTCCTAGAGACCAAGTTACATATGTAAATTAAACTAAATTGCTTTAGGCTCCCCATTCTAGCTCACACTTGTACAAAATAAGACAGATACACATACTATACATCGGTAAAAGCATGTACTTGGAAAATGTTATAATGCATATAATTTACAAGCACTCATATGAATCTTATTAGTCAAAATTGTTAGATCATTTAAAAAAGTTTAAATTTCTGTTAGCATATTTAAAGTAAACAAAATCGAATAAGTAAAATATAAATCAACTTAAAACTACTAAAAATTTAAAAATTTTAGAAGTCAGATAATTCTGGATCAAGTATTGTTTCATCTATGTGAAAATTTTTTATTATGATCATGAAGACAAATAAAATCACAGAACTGAACTGTAATCTGTGTATAGATAAGATTAGACAAGATCAAAGAATATCTCAAATATTTTACCTTCATTTATATGAAATCTAAACACAAAAATGATCAATTTGTACTTCTTATACATCTTTTCAGAGAGAAAAACATCTTTCAAGAGAGGATATATGCATTACATTTGAACAATTATTTTTCTAACTTTCTAACATTAACATAAGGAGTTTAGACTTATTAAATGTTAAGGCAACTTTTACATGTAAAAATTATCTGATCATCTCAATCAATGCCAATTTTATAACTATTATTAACAAAGCAAAATATTTTTAAATAATGACACTCACTTCCTCTACATTTTATCTTATTTTATTGTATTAATAATCTTTCATTAAAAAATATTTTGGACCGAAAACAGTTAAAAGTCTATTAGACAATTCAGAATTCCAACAGCCTTTTAACAGTCTTCCTTACTCCATTCTGAAGTACTCTGTGTACTTACAATCCATTTTTCTTTCTAGTCACACCAATTAGTTATGTTCCTATATGTACTGTCTTTATTATTCCAATTACCAATCCCTCAACTGAAGAAAATAATCAAAGATATGAAAAATAAACAAATAGCATTAAAGAGTATGAAAATAAGCTTTCCCATTAAAACTCATGAATCCTGTTTCTTGTAAGACAGTCTTACTTACACTAAGGTCAGTCTCACTTTCAAGTTGGTTGTTTCACTTGGACTTAGATATATTTTTTCATCAACAGAAAGAACACTGTATTTTCACCCTACTCTGATTTAACTTGCTGAAATCTATTAAACTAATCTTATCTTTGATTTCTGCCAGTCCTCCCTCCACTCACTTCTCTTCTCCTTCCCCATCTCCAACTAACAACAAAATAAAAAGACTAGCAACTGCGTAGAAGAGAGGAATTCTATTCATATTGATACAATAGGTTTGGAAGGTTCTGTTCAGCTGAGGGAGGCATGAGAGACAGAGAGGAGTTAAATGTTGCAGTAGAAGACAGTGGTCAACTGCCAATAGCTCCTAAATTAAGATTTGTGTCATAATTTTTTTGAGAGAATAGTACTATGAATTACCAGATAAGAATCTACCAGGTTAAAATTAAATAATGACATCAAAGTAGTATTAATTTTTAATTATTTATGTTGATTTACTTTTATTAGAATAAATTAGAGTTCATGTAAACATGTGTTTGAGGAAGCAGTATTTTAGTACATGTTCTAATACTTAATAACCTTTATAATCACCTTTAATTTACACTGTAATTGCTTCATTTCTAAGTCCATGTTCCTTGAGGAGCCCAGTGATGTAACTGGTATATGTGTAGCTGCTACCCTGGCAACTTCTGCCAAACTTGGGATTTCAGATGGGGACTCTACTTTTTTTAGTAGATCTTCATTTTGTTTCTGAAGTCCAGCCAAATCCAAATTTAGCTTCTTAAAAAAAAAAAAGAAAAGAAAGCAAATATAAGACTAACTACAATTAATCTAACAATTGTTAGCATAAAATTCTACAGGTAGGAAAATACCAAGGATGAGAATTAATTATACAAATAAATATTACAAGAACTTTAGAAAATTCTATCTTCTCTACTATTTTATAGCACTTATAAAGTTCAAACAAAATTAACCAGCTATACTCAGTATCTTTAGATTGGCTGGTCTCTACACATAATGAACTATTTCTTCCCCTTCACATATATATGAGTGAGCCAGAGATTCACAGATTTGATGACTTCAGGTCTGATGCACTTAACATGGTAAAAGCCAAGCTGGAGCAGGACAAGGTAACAGATGTTAGTTGTTTATTCCATTGGGTAGATCTTACTACCATATATAGCAGCCAAAATACTTCTCATTTAGCAATATAAATGTTAAGTCCAATTAGCAAATGAGGCTTGTTGGGGATTTAGTTTAAATAAATAACATGCAAAAAATTTGCTCATTTTTATGGCCTTGATTGATACTTGACAAGTCTCGTTTATAACATGGAGGTAAAACTGCATTCAATTCCTAACATTTGAATTTTTAATAACATACATATTTTGTTAAATGACATACTACTAATGTTTTCATGAAGTAGTATAAAAGACACCATCTTAATATGAGCTGTGATCTTTCGTCTGTAATCAGCAGAATGTCACAAAACCGCATAGCATAACAACTCAGAGCTTTTTAAGAGAGTACTATTTTTCAAAAGAAACATAATGTGGTTGTCTAACATAAGGAACCATTAGACAAAATGATACTTAAATCTCTCAGAAGGGAAAAAATCTTTATGAATTACTATTAGGTACAGCAAAAGATGTACCTAAAGTATACAGTAATACATACATGAGATATATTATTTAGGTATTAACACTGTTTAAATACAACTTCTAGAAACTTCCAATAAAAACACAATTAAATGTTTCTTTATATGCATACTGTTACATATGAAAAGTTCAGGTCATGAATTCAAAACTAGGGCTTAATATATTTGAAATAAAAGTATTATTTTGATGAAGAAACTATTTCTTTGACTATATTTTAGTTTATGATCTAGAATTACAGCTTTAAAGACTTTACAAAACATTTATTCACCAATTGTCCCAAGTCTACCAAACAATTAATATCTAAAAATGAATTCATAATCTCCCTAGGTATGAAATTCTTCCTGTTTACCATCTGTAGTGGATTGGTAACTGGTGGTCAACTTAAACGCCAGCTGAAGTGAACCAGTGTGGTACGGGGCATGGGTGGCCCACCTGAGGACTGTTGCCAATATAAAAAGAAGACGGAGTGTACGAGGAACATTATGAGTTCTCTCAAGTGTTGTTTGGAGCCAATGGCTCTCCTGGAGGAGCTTGTCATGGTGGCTCCCCTGACATGAACTCGGTTGTTATCACTGGAGGAGCTCGGCACCTTGTTGCTGAGAATAGCTACAGTTTCACTTTGGTCCTTACTTGGAGCATCGTTTCCTTGCTTCATAGGGAAACATGTATGCTGTTTATTCTCCAGAAGTTTGTCACACTGGCTTCCTGAAATGTACTCAGCTGTTCTTGTCATTGAGGAGCTGGGACTTCATTTTCGTTGAGGATGGCAGTGGTATTTTTCGGGGGAGACCCGGTCCATATTTTGAATGTTGCTTGTTGGCTCCAGCATACAATTCTCAGCCTGCTAGCACAATCCTTCACCTTGCTGGCAGGCATTCTAGCTTCTACCGCTGACCTTTGGGCCTTCCCAGCACAGATCCATGAAACAGACTTTCATGAGTTATTGTTGTCGGCTCCAGGTCCTTGGTTGGATTTCCTTGATCTGTAGTGTGTGGATAGATTTTCTGAACTTTCTTTGTATTTAACTCCTTGGGTGAACATCCTAAAATACGAATGATGTGTCCTGTATGTATTGTTCTCCTTGCAACCTCTGACTACAACACCATTCAAGTTTAAATCCACTTTCTTCCTTACTTATTTTTTCTATACGTTCAGTCAGTTGTCAGCTTCTATAAATTATGTAACTGTTCCTCACTCCTTTTCACCCGTCTTAATGCACACCCTCATTATCCCAGTGATACTACTGCAGACTGTCCTCCCACACCTTTTTTTACTTCCCTACCGCTTTTTATACAACTTCCTCAAACAGCACTGATCTTTAATTCCCTTGTTCAAAGCCCTTCAAAGGTCCTTCAACCTAACAATAAAGCTCAAATGTATGTGGGTATTAAAGTTTTCTAATATTTTAGATTCAAATTGTTTCAGTCAGATATCACCTAGTCAGCCTTGTCTGCCGGTCCCCAAAATCTTCCTCCTAGTCTTCCATCAGTAACTCCACACATAATGTCTCCTCCATCTGAAGCATCTCTCTTCTTTTGAGACAGTCTCGTGTGGTATTTCAGGCTGGGCTTGCACTCACTGTATAGTCCAGGTTGGCTTTGAACTCAACAGCGATCCTCCTGCCTCAGCCTCTAGTGTGCTGGAATCATAGGCATGCAGCATTGTGCCTAGCTATCGCTCATCTTTAAAAGAACAATGTAATCCTCCCTACTTCACAAAGCCTTCTCTTTTTTCTTCAGCAAAATAGCTTCTCCATTCTCTTACCTCCCATAGGAGTACACATGTTCCTTACACAAAAACCCTTGTTAATTTAAAGCCTTGAGAGCGGATAATATTTTTTCCACTAATATGTTTATGGACAGTATCTGAAAATGACTGTCTTACAAGAACCAAAACAAAAGGATTAAGAATCTAATTTTCTATTTGTAGTGCGGACGGTGCTCTAAAGATACAGCAATTGCAGTTTTTATTTACAACCCATTCATTTAATACTGTATAAGTTAAAATGCATTTTATTAATAATATAGTGTTAGTTAAGCTTTTGCTTGGAAGCTGTGCACATCTAAATTTTGATGTTAATGTTCTGTATCTGTGTTAAACTTTGTAAACTCTCTCTGTGGCTGTCTTCTTTTTTTCTCTCTCTCCCTTCCCCCTTCTTTCTTTCTTACTAAGAATTGAACTTAGCGTAAGAATTCTATTTCTATATCAGTAATGTTAGGATGACACATGAAGTATAGCTTGTTCATACTTGGTTTCGGCTGTTTTTGTGGGTAACCTATGTGATAAAAACGGTGCTGTTAATCTACCAATAAGCTAAAATTACTCTTAAAATTGCTAATATTTTTCTTTTTATTCATGAGCATGCATCCTTTTCTATTATTATTTTTCTACTTTTACATATTTCAAACATTTAAGTTATATTTAACAGAAAATAATAAACACAGATAAAAGCACCATAATTTCTAGATTCTAACTCTGAATCTATTGATTACCATTTGAGTGACTTTATGTAAGTATGTGCCTATTTTCTCTGTCAAAAACAAGAGATAATGCTTGTCTACCTAACAAAAGTAATTTTGGGCACAGAATTTTTAAAACACATGTGACAGTACTTGGTAGATTTTTTATGTGCAGTACTGTGGATACTCTATTATTTGTGGTAAATTATAGAGTCTGACAGTCTTACAAGATGAAGACAATGATAAAAAATACCTTGTTAAATATAGGGATATTATAATCCTATAGTTGTAACACAAATTTTAGTTTGCCTTAAAGTGTAACTACTTACTTGATTATAATCAATATAGGATCATTACCAGGCTACCTGCACAATGACCTATGCGCTTTCCAACTCTATATTCCCAGCTCAGCAGTAGTTCCACAGTCTTCTTAAAGTCTATTTCAATTTAAAATGTGAACTCGGTGAGAATTAGTTCCGAGATTTGTTTTTAATTATACATAGTCAATTATTTCTAATCAAAGATTACAAAACAGAACATTTATCAGCATTTAAAACTAGAAACTACTTCCTATTTAGTTTTTTACACACAACATTGCGCTAGAATGTGAGCCTTAAACCAAGGAAGCTGAGAGAAAAAGACAAGCGTTGTGCAATCTCACCTACATGGCGAACACTGAAAAGCTCACGTCGCAGAGGATGAGTATCGAGTGGTGGTTACTCTAGGCGCTGGGAGAGGTGAGGGACGAGGGATGGGGAAAAGCTGATCAATGAGTGCTAAGCTGTAGTTAGATAAGTGTTAGAAAGTTGTGGCGAGCAACTGCACAGTATGGAGACTATAGGTAACAATAATGTACTATATATTTTAAAAAGCAAAAGAAATAAATGATAAATACCTGAGTCGATATGTTTAGCTTGATCGAAACATTTAGTAATGTTTATCTATGTTTTGAAATGTTACATGGTATCCTATAAACACACACAGTTCTGTTTTTATGTGTCAATTAAAATTTTTAAGTTTATATAACACTGAAGAAGTATAAGTCTTAAAAGGAAAGAACACTGCAAGCAACTGTAAGGAGAAACAAGACTAAATATGTAGAAGAACTTGTGCGTACTTGTGTGTGTGTGTGTGTGTGTGTGTGTGTGTGTGTGTGTGTGTTTTATGGGACCTAAACTCAGGGCCTTCACATGGAGCTACTTTTAAAACTAAAAGCCATTTAAAATTTATTTTGTAAATTTTGAGATGCGGTTTTGCTAAGTTTCACAGGCTGAACTCAAATTTGTGATCTTCCTGCCCTAGGCTGCCAGAGTGCTAGGATTATAGACATGCACCATTGACCTGGCTAGGAAATAATAATGAGTCCTGGAGTAGACACAATATTGGTGTGATGCTCAATATTCCATGTCTTGGTATAATACATCCCCAGTGGGACTTGTGAGTAAGATGAGCTATCACTACAATAATTACGTTATGCAAAAAGTGATTCTGTGAACAAAATTATGGTCCTTAATCAAGTGATTTTGATTTAAGATTATCCTGGCTGGTTTTAATCAGGTAAGTTCTTTCAAAAGTCTGTCTGATGCCTTCTGAGAGGGGAAGAGAACCAGAGAGTTAAACAGATAGTCAGACAACCAGACAACCAAAGAGCCAAAGCAAGACT